CACATTTCATCCTCGCATGAGATGCCGATGGTATTGTCTCGAGAACCGGAAACGATCGCTGACTTTTCTTTGAACTGGCATTTGGCTAAACAACGAACATCACTCGAATGGATGTTCAACTCGCACCTAAGCTGGAACATGTTGAAAATGGTTCACAACAGCCTAAAACAGTAGCTGCCAATATAGAACCTATAAATACGTGCTCAACTTTTAACAAGCCATCAACGCGTCCAAAAATGAATGATTTACTGCAATGCTAAATTTAGCCTATACATGCGTGAAAATTCACTTTCGTCATTTCATCGAGCTATAGTAACGAGCAAACACATTCCGGTGACGCTGTTTTTTGAATTATTAATCAGTGATTATTCGCCTTTCGAAATAAAAACGATGGTCACTTTTCAGACTTAGATTTGACTGAATATGTGACACCATAAATTGGAGAAACAGACTCCATTCGAGAAAAGAACATGCAAAATACGGCCATTTTATGTTTTCTTCATCTATTAGCCATTTTTTGGTGATTAAACGGGTGAGACGACTCAGATCACAATATTTTTATAATTTTCATTTGTTATGATCCGACATGCCATAAGGCTGAAACTTCGCTTTCCCAGGACTAATTATGTCGGACACACAGGAAGTGATTCATCAGATTATCTAAGCATTACCAATTATTATGCTTTCGCAAAGATATAATACTTGTCGCCTGGAGATCAGCTCCTAATACTTTTGAACAGGGTTGCAGTTGGTGTTGTTTTTCTTCTACTTCCTATATTCCGACCTAAAACATAGAAAGTTTTTGTTAAGTCTTCTGTCTTCTGAATCGTGCATCGAACCAGAAGAAGTTCATTCACTTAGTATAAAATACAGCTTCTTTCTCACGATTTTACGCATGTTATCATCGTTACTCGATGACACTACTTGACCTTGAGGATTTTGTTCGGACAACGCTGTTGTAAGTAGATCAATGCTTTTGGTCTGCAGCTCTTTCGTCAAGAAAATCGAAAAGACTGCTGCCATAAAGACAACATTCGTTTTTATGGTTATTCATCGGTCTTTCCACACCTTGTGCAACTTAACAAGTGTGTTTATGCGAATTCCATGGATAGATTAATATCTCCATAATCACTTCCTTCGTTGAAAATGACTGAACCAATACACTTTAAACGGTCGACTTCGTCCACCGTCGTCCATCTGATCTTCATGCTACTGTGCTTGAGTCTCTCCGCAGAACGATTTCGTCCGTGTATTCAAGGTCGTTTAAATAAACAGCTGGGTACCTATCTGAAACTTCTTCTTGACCCAATGGCAAAGCCGTCTGTCCCGTTTTCAGTTTGGGACGACACTTCTCTGCATGACATAGTCAAACAACGGTGACAAACAGCAAGAGCGAGAGAACTTTGCCTCGAAGGACCCCAGCTGAAATGCTGAACCTGTTCGATAAGCCGTCTTCGCTCTGGACTGCCTAAGATATGCCTTGGTACAGTTCTCCTCACTAGTCTCCTGATCGTCTCAGAAAATGTGGATTTAAAATCAATCTCTAACAGCGACTGTCATTAAAAATTTCAACATGTATTTTCATATGTAATGAAAAAACAGCATTAAAAACTATTTACTAATACACAACGCAAAAAGTGGTAAATCGAGAACCTCCTCGGCTAAAAGCGTACACCTGCTCCAAACATGCGTGAGATATGAGCCTAGAAGTCAATATTGGTCAATCATGACTGACCGCATTTCTGTGTTGTGTAATAATAAACTAAACTGTTTTAATGCTGTTTTCGGTACGGCTACCAACGCGCCAACAAAGTATTCAGGTCTTCAGATATTCAGATCTGTCTGAAGCACCATTTCTAACGATCAGACAATAAACCTGGGTTACTCTGCTGTTTAAGCTATCTAATGTCGAATGAATATGACAAAACAACAGATTTCAGATATAACATACACAAGTGTCATAAGCTCCTCCACAACATCAGGATTCGATTTTGTCACCTTTCGCCTACGTATCGTCGTGGTAATGTTCTTTGGTTAAACATACTTTTGTTCAACCGATGTTTCAGACGCGACCCTGCGTCATACATACTGCAGGCATTTAAATACCATGGAACCGTGGCCTGCTTAAATGGTCCCCCATACGCGTCTAGAAGCAAGAAGACGGCGCAACATAGCTACTGCTGTAAAGCGAGAAACTGATTTTTCGTTACATTATGCCTTCAGCGTTTTAATCCGACATCATTCTTAAATGTGATATCTTCAGCGACGGTATCGAAAGCTCCCCCACAACACTGAGGTTTCATTTTGTTACAAATAAATTAAAGCTTTTCTTTAAAAATAAAGCACAAACTAAATGACCTGAGTAAAAGTCTGAAAACAGATAAGACCAAGAAAATAATTAACTATCGCAATCCACCCTGATCATGGTATAGTTATGAAACGCATAACCGGGTCGAAAGTAATTAAGAATAAGAGAGTAGGTGGTAACTGAAATTTCAATTAAATATTTTGTTTTACTACTGTTTACTACTACTTACTACTGTTTGTTATCTTATTTATGATTATGACAGAGCTTAAGATTTGAAGAAAACTAATCGAAGAGACCGCTATAAGTAGCCATGCGCATCTACCTTCTAACAAGCATATCGTGAACGCAGAGACGACCAAAATGTACAGAAACAGTCAAAACATACAGAATTAAAGTGACAAGAAATAAGTTTCAACCTCAGTTCAATGCTGTTTTGCAATTCGGCCAAAACTGGGTTTCATAAGCAGTGACGCAAACTACCCTACAGTATTCAAAAACCTACTCAACTGTAGTGAAAAAGAAATCCTCATCGAATCCATGGAAGGTTCACCAGCAGAAACACCAGCGTATCACCAGCTATATGTTTTTAGAAGTGAAACGGATTCACGCCATCACTCATTTTGAAACAATCTTATGCGTCATATGCATGAAAACTGACGACAAATCCTCCAGTTACCAGCAGAACTATCCCGTACCCACGAATCACGCACGTATTCGGCACCGTCGGGATCTTAATGTCTGTATGCTCTTGACAGACCCTTTGACTTTAGCTAAATCAAACATTAATCTATGGAACTATGCCATTCCCGCAGATCAAACTGATTCATTTTAAAGTATATGCTATAGCATGACGCTATCATAAGACAAAGCAATGACGCAGAACTTATCCTACTCACCCTTAATTTTCCGTACTTGGGTATTCGCGGTAAAGCGAGCCTACTCAACGGAGACTCTGCGAGCACTGAAGAAGAATTGTAATAGTCGACGGTGATACAACTCTCTGGTACATGAGATAGAGTCAATCATGCTTAAGATTCCTTTAACATCACATGACGACATCTACAATCGATATGAAAAATTCGTTAAGTGCTACAAGGTGAAACTCAGACATATCAAGACATCAACATTTAAAAAGATCGCGCTTCCACCCCCTCTGAATTACATGAAGAATTTGAGACAAATCGAAGACTGTACGAACTCATACCTACAGATCAAAAAGATACTGTAATTTGTATCAAACCTAACCAAGGAAAAGTTAGCCATGAGCTCTGTGGGAACAGGATATGATTTGTCAGCGGCGACGTTTTCTCCGGACGGGAGAATCTTTCAAAGTAAACAATAGCAAATTCCGATATTATTCTTTACAGTCATATTTTAAGTTGTCATAAAGTGTTTATTCTTTCGAAAAGATACCCACAGGCCGATTTCATTGAATGTAATAGCTTATATTTCAGGATATGTTGCCTCACGTTCACTTTGTAATTTTGCTTATGGTTATTTTCGACTGTAAATCTGTTGTACTATTGCGTCTTACCGAAAAAGTTGAAATATTAGAGGCTTAACGTGACCTGTTGAAACGGTCTCCTAGGCTACCTGAAGCAAGAGTACGTGTACTACGTCATGCATTACCGGTAGTATCGAAAACTAGCAGTTTGTCAGTAAACCCCTAATACTGTTGTTTAAAAATTAGTACAATAGAATCATTTATAGGAGAACCACGGTCTCTGCCACTAAGTTCACAATAGTCTGCCGTACAAAAGTAAAATTTCCGATGCTTTAGCCACTTTTTAAGTTCAACCCTTGTGGCTTTTTTATGCGGTCACAAAATCATAGTCATTACGCGCACAAGCAAGATTATTTTTTGCAGGAGTGCGGTTCTTACTGAATGCAGTATATTTTCTTCTGATTTTGTAAGTGAATTTTTTCTACTGTGTACTAGAAAAGTTTTCTTCCGTTACCACTTTTTCCATAATGACCTCTTTCGACCTTATAGTTATATTCCTTGCTATGACTTATCGCCATTGACAAGGCTTTCGGTGCTTAACAGTTTATTTTGATGATTTTGAACAAGATGCTTGAAGCCAGGAAGGTGATCAGATGAAAAATCATGTTAAGTTCCCATTTAAATTTGAGTACGCTTCCATTCATAATCTGAAGCAGGGATTACCTTTTCTCTGGTACCGTTCAAGCTTTTAACCCTTTTGCTATTGCTGCTCTGGTCCCGGCATCTGAGTTACGTCGGATGATCGTGGATTCAAGCTGCAGACTAGCTACTCGCCTCTTATCCTTCCAAGGTAGATAAATGAAAGCCACTCACAGAGAAGCAGTCTAGAGATTACTGCTGTTGCGGGCACATGCATATTAATATGCTCTTAAAAAAAGAGGACCCGCTTGGAAGACGACACAGCAACAGAAATTAGCGCCATACCATCAGCACCATTGAATAAAATATTACAAATGGCACTTGATAATAGGATTGTAAAGGAGACGAATCTTCAAAGATTACCAACTTTCTTTCTTTGTAGTATGCTGAAGACACTGCCTTTGTATTTGTGGTGCATAATAAGTCAGGTTGCAGCAGTCATATCGATCAGAATCCTACTGGAGTGATGCACGGGTATTTCTTTTAAAAAAGAACATTCGTCTGACCAGACGGACTGGTTACCTTAGACGATTGCAGATATCCACCATTACATTGTTCGATAACATTTTGTCCTTTTCTTTATTTACAGATGTTTCAGCAGTTGTTACAAATGACGCCTCGAAGGTAACTAGGTAAATGCACTAGCAGCAAAACAAAATTTGGAATAATTACATGCAAATTGACATATGTTCTCATCCGAAGATCTGATTTTGATTGATTTCCGAGCATAGCGTTGCCCTACAGAAAAAATGGTGCAATGCTCCTAGCATTATAGTATCTCGGACAGCATAGGGTCATGGCCTGTTTAAATTCCCTTCCAACCAACTGGGAGCAAAGGGATGGTGCAGTACGTCGTAAACCTAGGCATCAGTGAGTTGTATTCCAATTGATATGCTCA